GACGAGAGACAAGAAGCGGTGTGTGGAGGAACTATCAGCTGTAAAATAAGAAATACTGACCAAAGGACAAAAATCAACCAGAAGTCTGAGAATTGGACAGAGGTCACTTGTCAAGTTAAATTCCTAATTATCAATATGTAATGCTGCCAGCAACTCAATTTTAATAACATGAGATAGTCTTTGCCTTTCATTAATGGACAAATTACTTGACAAGATACACCAAAGAGGAGAACTATACAAGACAGTACGCAATCAAGTGCTACATTTGTATGGTGCCCGTCAGAGCCATAATTCAAAGTAAAGATTCAAAATCGGTTTTATAAAAAGCTGTCATGAACACGTTTCTAGAACTTTTAATAGCCAAGACTGTTTCTGAGTACAAACTGCAACAGCAAAGACTGCTGGCTGTGTACCATTTTGTAGCCACACCCATAAATGTGGATCACTTTAATGCCAGTGACATCATCAAACAACTTTCTAAGCAGTTTTACTTTCAACTGTCACTTTTTTGGGGATCATATTACAGTAAAACACTTCAAAACTGAACTACCTCCAAATTGCATACAGTGTAGATTGTTATCATTCCTGGGATCTTTCCGGTCTTCAGCAAAAAGAAACCCAAAATACAATCAAAGCATTCATGCAAAACATTTGATTTAAAAAAACCGATTTCAATCATTATTCGTGTATCTTTAACCTAGATCAGATCTTTTTTCCCCACCTTCTCTACAGTGCTGTGTAATGGCTACAAATTACGGTAGTCTAAGATTATTTTGTTTTTAAAGAAGAAACGTTTTATAAAATGTGCTTAGAAACCTTAGAAAAACACACACACAGAAGGCAAGAATGACTTAAATGTTATCAAGGACTTTAATCTCTTTATAAATTAATCTCTATCATAAAATGAGTACCTCAAAAGACTATATAAATGACACATCTGAACAACTAGGTGCAGTTACTGAGCTCTCAGCCTGAGAGTAAAGGATCAATTTTTTAGAAGGATGAATATCGTTGCTGCAACTGAGGGGAAATTATTTTCAAAAGTAGAATAAAATTAGGAGAAAGTACCTAAGAAAATCACTAACATCTTACTTACAAAAAGGAAAAATGACCAATTAAACATAACTGTTTCACCAAATCTAAGGGGTTTACCTTATTTTTATCTTGCTTCAGTAAGAAGCTCATCTATATAGCAATCCAAATTTCTGAGGCTAAAATTCTGGATAGATACATTTTAATGTGGAAGTCAGTGAAAAAAGGTATGTTAGAATCAGCTACTGGAAAATGTCCTTAAAATAAAATGACAACAATGTAAAAGAACAAATCTCTTACCAGTTGAAATTCTCGACGCCGGTCATAGGCATTCTGTATACCACTGTCTGCCCATAATGCTCTTATAACAGGGAGATATTGCAAAAAAACTCGAGTTTCCACCATTCCTTGGGACGCCATGGGGGACCGGGTGTCAAACGCCATCATCTTGTCTCCGTTGGCTTGGTTTGAGTTATCTCCCCACGGAATATGAAGCTTCTCTCGAGCATCTACCAGCACCCTCATACCTTTGTTTAAAAAGAAAGAGAAAGGTGTGCTAGGAGCCATTAGATATTCTCATTGATTCTATTCCCGAATTATTTTCTGAAGCTTCTGAACTACTCCAGGCCCACCTCCTCCAAAACTGGAGACCAACATAGAAATAAACACCCCATAACTTCTCAGAGCTTAAAAAAACTAACACTTGTTCACAGTCATAAAATTAGAGCCTTGAAAGGCAAATATTAACACAATTGCTCTTTCTGAAGGATTTTAACGTGTTCTAATTTATAAAATAACTTTCTATAAACTTTTAATAGAAGGTAGTCACAAGAGAACCAAAACCAGTGAAGGAAAAAAAAAATCACGCTGCACAGGCCAATGTCCAGGCTCTGGAAAAACAGCTATAGCTAAGATTTTCTGAGCCCCTCAAAAAGACATTTATGAAATGCCAAGAGTCAAACATTATCACTCTGAGTTCGTTTGTTCCCTGAGCACCCAGCTTTACCCCAACACCGAGTGGTGTTTTTTTTTTTTTTAAAGATTTTATTTATGGGGCGCCTGGGTGGCTCAGTCGTTGAGCGTCTGCCTTCGGCTCAGGTCCTGGGATCGAGCTCCGCGTCGGGCTCCCTGCTCCGCGGGAAGCCTGCTTCTCCCTCTCCCACTGCCCCTGCTTGTGTTCCCTCTCTCGCTGTGTCTCTCTCTGTCAAATAAATAAAATCTTTAAAAATAAATAAATAAATAAATAAAGATTTTATTTATTTGAGAGAGATCGCACAAGGGAGTAGAGGGGCAAGGGCGGGGGGAGAATCCCAAGCAGACTCCAAGCTGAATGTGGAGCCTGACTCAGGGCTGGATCTCACAACCTTGAGATCATGACCTGAGCCGAGAAAATCACGAGTCAGAGACTTAACCAACTAAACCACCCTGGCGCCCCAAAACCAAGTCTTCTAAGAACACATTCAAAACTCAAAAACTCCCAAACCAAGCTTCAAATCAGTGTAGTCACAGGAAAGCCTTAGACTTCCCTAACAGGGAGGAAGAGCAACTGCAAAAAGTGTATAGAAACAGAGAATTCAACTCACAGAGATGAATTCAAACCCAGGATCTCTAATCACTAAACTGTTACCTTTGGTCCATCTTAATTAACAGTCACATGACTATTCAGGCAATTGTCTGGATGTTTTGCTGTCAATCTTCTGATCATGCCAACTCAAAAAGATAGATGTCTAGTGACTTATTTCATCTCATAACCAGTGTTCAAAGTAGGTCTCACTTTGGACACAGTGCACAATAAGGACCAGGTGTTTACCTGGCTCACAATCAGTTAACATGCTGACTCTATTCATTGACATAATTCCTTAAGTTCAGCTGCATCACGATACAAAGGTACCTTCAATTAAGGACGGGCAAGGCGGAGCCCTAAGCCTTGAAAGAGACCTTAATTAGTTTTGTGCTAAACAGTAAGATGGGATAAAGACACTGTTTTATACAGCTTAACTGTAGCAGTGCCAGGGCTCAGAGCCGGCTGGCTGTGATCTGTGAGCTAGCTCCTGGCCTAGTGCTCTTCTCCCCTCATTACCCCAGGAGCCCCACCCCTGGTGGCGGGGATGGGGTGGGGTGGGGGTACTTTTCCTCAACTCAATCCTGGGAGCAAAAAAAAGTGATGAGAAGGAGTTGCTTAAGAACTTCCTGAACAAAAAAACCCCGTTAAAGAAACCCTGCTTGCAAATCTGCTGGAATCTGTAGCAAACCCCTGGACAACTGCTACCCAGATGGTGGTTTCCTGATGCACCTGAAGTACCAGGCACTGTATCTCCAATTTGCCAAAATGCCTTTTATAAATTAGAAAATGTTTGATACTAAGAAAAATGAACGTAACCGTCACTGAAATAAGACCCATCTTCTCCAATTCTCTGAAAGCCCAGAAATAAAATTATTTTTTGTATTTTTTTACTTACAAACAGTTTAATTTTAAAAAAACACCGTCAAGGGTGCCTGGGTGGCTCAGTTGGTTAAGCGACTGCCTTCGGCTCGGGTCATGATCCCAGGGTCCTGGGATCGAGCCCCACATTGGGCTCCCTGCTCGGCGGGAAGCCTGCTTCTCCCTCTCCCACTCCCTCTGCTTGTGTTCCCTCTCTCGCTGTCTCTCTCTTTGTCAAATAAATAAATAAAATCTTTAAATAAATAAATAAATAAAAATAAAAAAACACCGTCAAGTAGAAGCAGAGCCTACGATCCAAGCCAACAGCGATTCACCGACTCAACCTGTATAGGATCCGCATCACTTTTTAGGCCAAAGATTCTTCACACCAACACACGATTTCATTTAAATAGTAGAGCAAGTGGTGGTACGCCACCCCACCCCAGTTATTAAGCCAAACGGAGAGAGGAACGTGTTGCATAGTGATTATAGGCAAAACATCCTGCCCAACCGTGACAATGGGGCGAAAAACCACTGATGCTAATTTTTTCAGACCAACTGTATGGGTCTACTCTTTCCTGATGCCAGCACAGAACACAGGACTCCCTGAAGTTGCATATCCTTGCCCAAAAGGGCCCAGGAACTGTCACCCTTCGCCCTTGACAAGCCTCAGGCAAAAGTTTCCTTACTGAGACGGTTCCATAACTCCCTTGCTTAGGAGGCGGCCAAAGAAGCAAGGAGTTGGGAGCAGCCCCGACCCCATGTGACTCGGGTCACCCAGCCGGGGCGGCGAGGTTGGGCAGGCAGCGCCGGGGCGGCGGAGGGGGGTGTGGGTGCGGGATCAGCTCTCAGGTCTTCTGGCCTCGTCTGGAGGAAGGCAGGCGCGGTCACGTAGCACCCCGAGAAGCCCGGCTCGCCTCACTTCCCTCTCGGAGGGGACGAGGCCAGTGGCGACGGGGGGTATGAGGGGCCAGCCCTGAGCCCCACTCAAACGGCAGGGGGGAAAGTGGGGCGCCCCCGGGCATCCTTTCCCCTCCGGGGAGAGGGCACCCCGCGCAAGCAGGACCGCCGCCCGGGGCGCGCCCCCTTCCCGCCCTCCCGCCCGCCGGGCCGGGTCCTCTTGGCAGGGACAGGAGCGAACGAGGGCGGTGCCCGGCCCCGCGCCGGCCGCCTCCGCCCCCCCCGCCCCCACGCCCCGGCTCGGGCCCGCGGTCTCCGCGGCGACCCCCGCCCGGCACCTTTAATCACGTTGCTGTAGATGGTGGGGCGGAACTCCTCGCGCGCGCGCTGGTCGAAGTCCTGCCCGTGGATGATCCGCATCTGCTTCAGGAAGGTGGACTTGCCGCTCTCGCCCGCACCCAGCAGCAGGATCTTCACGAGCCGCTTCACGTAGGTCTTCTCCCGGGACAGGCATTTGTCGATCTCCTTGGACTTGCGCTGCTGCTCGGCCTCGCCGCTCGTCAGCACGCAGCCGGGGAAACACACGGACAGCACGGACCGCGACGGCAGGAAGTCCGCCATCTTGCCGCCGCCGCCGCCGCCGCCGCCTCGGCGGGCCCCTCCGGCTCCCTCCACCGCCTCCTCGGGCGGCGGGCGGCTCCTGCAACGAGGCTCGAGGGCGGGGAGCGCTGCGGCGGCCCGAGCGCGCCCGCGGAGGGAGGGAACCAGAGAGGTGACTCGCAGGGCGGGCCGGGCAGGGCGGGCCGGGCGAGCCAGGGAGGGAGGGAAGGAGGGCGGGCCCAGGAGGGGCGGTGGCCCCCGGGCGTGCGCGCGCCCGCCGCCTCCCGGGAACGCGCACGCACGCCGGGCCGCTTTCCAGCCTCCCGGGTTTCCACGAGTCACGCTCTAGTCCGGGCGCCGGCGGCCGCCGCCCGGCGCGCGCGCGCGCGCGGGGCTGGGGGGGCGGGGGGCGGTCCAGCTGGGAATGGTCACGTGGTCTCCGGGCGGTCCGGGCGCGCGCTGGCGGAGCCCGACTTTCTGTTTCCCTTTAATTAGCTGCTCCCACTGACGGGCAGATGACTACTTCCCGGAACCCTGGAGGCCCGAGCCCAGGTCCAAGGCACTGCTCTTTGGGCTTTCCTACCGCTCTCAACGCTCTTACTCCTGGGTGACGTGCCCGCCGCCTGCTGTCACCGTTCGCGCGCCTAATTTCGAGGCCCTTGGCTCAAGCGTTATTCAGACCGCGGGCGCGAGTCTGGAAGGTTTTGGTGCATTTTCTTAGGTGGTTTCTTTGACATCCTGCTCTCCCAAGCCCGGAGTGGTACCCAGACATCATCAGCCCTCCGCCCCCAACTCTTTCTGGCATTCCCAGACCCTGCAAAAGACTCTCCTTTCAGGGGAGGAAATGGAGTTGATGTTAATCTGAGACGTGCGAGGAGGGGTTGTTAATGTCTCACTAATGTGGATTCCCACCCGAGTTGTCACATTGAAGTCAGTGGATGGATGGTGGCTGTGGAGGGTGAGGTCATGGTGAAAATCCCCCTAAACCGGACACTGTGAAGCTGACTCTTCCCTACAAGGAAGCAGATAAGCAAACAGACTGAGAACCGGAGCAGGCAAATTTTCGGCTTCCTGCCAGATTACAGAGGATATGAACAGCCAAGGGACTTTTTTCTGTCCTAAGAGCAGATTCAGGCTGGGATACCTGAAAGGGCTGGTAGGGGACAAGCGACAAGTGACAGGTGCGTTGGTAACCTACGTAGCAAGGACCCCAGAAGCCAACTTATTTATTCTCAGTATTTAGTTGTAAGTGGAAACGGCCGGTTTGGTTTGTCTCTCTTCTGGGAAGTGCAGCGGTAGTGCTGCTTGATTTGGGGCTCTGTGGCTCGAAGCTACCTATGTGTTGGGGAGTTGAGGTAAGAGGTCAGCACTCTGAGTTGGCCCATGACAGGTTTAAATTAAAAAAATCAGTGCCAGTCTACTGTCAGGTTGGCTTAATGGCTGAGAAGCCTCATGACTCAGTAACTAGGCTGCAATAAACAATGGCTATGGTAGGATTATCTCCTGTTGTCCTGGCCAAACCCAGAGGGTGGACAATCTACAATACACAAAGTAGGGTAGGTAAAACTCTAGTATCTATGGATTGATAGGGTCAGAATCACGGGGTGGTGCCTTCACGCAAAATGGATGGTAAAAGCCTGACCCTGGATGGAAAATCTCTCTAGCGTCTCAGCTGTGTTCAGGAGGCCCTGTTCTCCAACCTGTGCTCTCAACAGGGGAGCGGGTTTGGCCCCCACCCATGCGCCAGTTCTACATGGACTCCAGATGCTGATCTGAACTCTTCTGCACAATCGGGGGGAAGCCTTTAAGTTAGGTAGTGAACATTTTTTTTTTTTCCCAAAAGTGTAGCATAATGGAGAACCAAGGGTGCCTAGGAGGCAGGAAGGTATTCCTGCCCAGCCGGTTCATGTTGTGACACGCAGAGCAGCAGAGAAAGCTCTTCAGAGCCCTGCCTGTAACCCTGTGTTGGAACAAGGTTGGCTCAGATCAAGCCTAGCTGCTCTAGTCGGTGTTTCTGAAAAATAGACACCGTTGGGCCCAGCCTGAGGTTTGGCTAGAGCAGTCCAACTGCTTCTGTTAATCAAGCCACCTTGAAGTTATAAGCATAAAAGTGAGTTAGAGGTTTGGGGGTTCCTCAGAAAGTTAAACATAGAACTGCCATACGAGCCAGCAATTCTACTCCTAGGTATATATCAAAAATAATTGAAAACAGGTATTCAGACCAAAAATTGTATACCCATGTTCATGGCAGCACCATTCAGAATAGCGAAAAGATGAAAACACCCCATATATCCATCAATGGATGAATGGATAAACAAAATGTAGTATATCCACACAATGGAATTATTCAGCCATAAAAAGAAATGGAATACTGATGGACAGATGCTATAATATGGACGAACCCTGAAGACATTATGCTAAGTGGAAGAAACCAGTCACAAAAGGCCACATATAGTAAGATTCCATTTATAGGAAATGTCCAGAACAGACAAACCCATAGTAACAGCTCCTGTGCTTATGCGCACAGGGTTTCCTTGTGGGGTGATGAAAATGTTTAGGAACTAGACATTGTGATGGTTGCAGAACATTGTGAATGTACTAAATGCCCTGAACTGTACACTTTAACGTGGTCAAATGATGAATTTGATGTTATGTGAATTTTACCACAATAAAAAAAAAATGAGGTGGGGAAAATAGTATTTTCTATAAAAGAAAAGACATCATTTAACAGTGAAGCACCCACAGTGTCCAATAACCAATGAATGAACATGTGGTTGTGTTTATTTTATTTTATATTTTTAGATTTTATTTATTTATTTGACAGAGAGACAGAGAGAGAGCACAAGTAGGCAGAGAGGCAGGCAGAGGGAGAGGGAGAAGCAGGCTTCCCGCTGAGCAGGAAGCCCAATGCGGGACTCGATCCCAGGACCCTGGGATCGTGACCTGAGCTGAAGGCAGCGGCTTAGACTGAGCCACCCAGGCACCCCGATTGTGTTTATTTTAAAATGACAACATAAGTTATCTGCACCAAAAGCAAATCTACTCTAGCAGCTGCTTCACATTACAGTGTAATGAAATTAATGATATTTTAATTTCCAGGTAGATTGTTTCATAACTGAAAAAGAAAATCCAAACTTTTTAAGGGAGTACAGAGTCTACTGGTTAGAACTGAATCTGCTGGAGGCTCTATTTCCAGTAGAGCCAGATGTTAATTTTTTGGAAACATCTGTCTTGTTGCTAGCCAGTTGATCCATATGCAAATGAGGGATTCAAATGCCCTGAGGAGCTGTGATAAAATGATCGAATGGTTGATTAGGTGCTATGCTCTATTCTTTCTGGAAACCCAACGTGTGGTGGCAAACAGTCTTGCAAGATAAATAGTGAAGGTGTAACTAAAAATGTACAACACATTTCCCAGTGGCTTTTCTTCTCTGACTTGGTCACTTCGGGAAGGATACAAGCCCTTTCCAGCAATACTGGCAATTCTTGAAACGAACCACTTGCCACTCTTCTGTTGAAACTGAAAGATAGGCTTCCTATCTTATAGTCACAGCTTTTTTACAATAAAAAAAAAAGGGTATTATTTAGCTCATTTACCAAACTTCATGCCAAATAACTTTAGGCTATTTACAAAATGCTATTATCCAAAAAGGACAAGAATTTGTCACCCTCAGACATATTCAAAAGAATATGCCAGAGGCTCTAGGAACAATTCCAAAAGAGGAGTTTAAAAAAAATTTTTTTTTGAATGATGGAAAATACAATTTAAGTAAGTGATTCCCCTGTCCAGGTGACTATTCACCACTCAGGATAGGACACCATCCATTTAAGTATGTTATTTAAAAAGCAGTCACATTACCCGATGGTTAAACCTTGTGCTAATTTTCTAAGAATGACAACACATCCAACATTCTTGCCATAAGACTCCATTTTGCCTCCTCAGTAATATAAAATAGGTGGATTCTAATCCTTTCTTACACATAAAACAGGCATGGATTTTCCATATCTTCCCTTCCCATCCTAGAAAACGAAGGGGATTCCCTAGCCCTCCCATGACACAAATCCCTCACATGTGCAATGTTTTAAACGCCCAAAAGCACTTTGACCCACTTTATCTCATTCTCTGCTCACAATAGCCTGACTAAGAACACCCAGTATCACCCTCACTCACCTCCTGTCTCACACTGGGAGGCTGACGGGAAGAAAAGTCAAGTGACACACTCTAAGCCTCATTCAGCCTGGCCAGTTGCAGAGCCAGAACCAAGAGCCCCCCTCTTTTGACTCTGAACCCAGTGCTCCTTCTGATGGGCCACAATTGCCCTAGTACCCCGAATGTCCAGCTGGATTAAGTTCAGACTTAAGAAACAAGTAGCTAACTAACTGTACTTAACCATGAGGCACCACAGAGTCCAATATTCTGGTTGGTCGGTCGGTCGATTTCTCCAGCCCCTTCGCAGCTGATTGTCATCTTGAAGTTCACTAGCTCTTAGGCTGATTTTGCTAAGATGTTCCATACTTTGAGCTCAGCCTCTGGTTTGTCAAATGTTCCAAGTGGCCTATGTAGAAATTCGAAAAGAGGAGCCAAGCTTATGGCAATATTTACATGATCCATAAACCCCAGACTTTCCCTTAGCGTGAGTTAGATATGAAGAGGCATCTTTTTTGTGTGATGAAATTTGCCTCTCATGTGGAAAGTTTTGTATGAAACGAGGCATGTGGAATTGCATTGTTGGTGGGGTTTTTTGTTGTTGTTGTTATTAATGGAAAACATGACTTTAATTACTGGTTGTATTTTTCTCAGCCTCCGAGAAAGATCCATGAGCTGCTGTTAGCCAGCTTTGACCTCACTGGGCTTAACTGAAGTCAGAAGCCTGCGCTGTCTTCAAGACACATGCCAGCACCCATACAAACCCTTACACCTTGCTGACTGCCTTGGACTCATTTATGGGCAGTCTATTTATACGACACTAACAAAAAGCTTTGCCTGTAAATCTGAGATTCTTTCTGAGAAACTCAAAACATCCTGCTCAGTCCCTCTCCTTTAGTTCCCCTCAGAGCTTTTAAAGATGAGGAATACTTTTTAGTTTTATTGCCTATAAATGGACTGCCCCTTGCCAGAAACAGGTATCTTGAACGCTAATTCTGTTTCTCCAGAGAGACTGAAGGCTGCGAAGTCTTTTAATTTCTTCCTGCATCTTAACATCCTCTGCTCCCAACCGGGTGGAAGCAGTTTTCTTTCACTCAGGACACTGGAGTGCAGGGAGCCTGGCTCCTGAAGCAAATAATGTCACCTGGCACCTCCGTCTCCAAACTCCTGTGTCAGCCGCTAAGGAAAAGCAGGGCTAGCTCATGGCAGGATTCAGGGAAAGGCAGCTGCTGAGTCAGAATCACAGAATCAAAGGTCTAGAAGCTGAAGCACTGTCACCGAGGTCCCTGTCTCTTGCTTTCATAATTAGCTTTCTCCTGGCTGTGGGAGGGTGATGCCAGGCCTGCCCTGCCTGGGGGGGGGGGGCGGGGGGAGAAATAAAAGCAAGCAGAAGCTGCTCCCCTTGCCAAGCAATTTTGTGTCAAGCAATTTTGCACTTAGTGCAAGCATATCAGACTGTTTGCTGATCATTTTGCTAGTTTCCCGGAGAGGGAATGTAGTGTGGGTGCAGGAACTTGGTGAGAACTCAACATAGTTGAGCCTTGCCCTTCATGTCTGTAAAATGGCGGCATTTATACATAAAGATCTGTCCCGAGGATTTAAATTATAGAACAAATGCCCTCAGTCTCGGTCCATACATGAGAGTTTCAGTTTTAGACTGTTGGAGGAAGGAGCATCGAAACTTCTTTAAGAATGCTTTGAAGGTTTAGGAATAGTTTCCTGGTCAGAAGGGTCTCCTGATCTTTCCTGAGCTCTTCCTTCTGAGTTTAAAGGTATCTCTTCTACTTAGGTTCATCCATAGCATCTGATGTGTCCCCCCAGCAGGATCTCTTTCTGGTCAAAAGAATCCAATACAACAAAGAGAAAATACGTATATGAGGGGTTGTCCCCCACATTTGGTCTCTGAAGAGGGGCAGGATTTATTAGTTCTCATCAGTACTGGGAGTGTAAGGAATCAGGTCAGAGAGCAGAGGTTCAAGTGGAAATGTTGACATAGTGCATTAAGAACATGGGCTTTTTTTCCCAATCTGTAAAATGGATATAATCATCTTAGAGGTTTTGGGAGGAGTTATATAAAATGAGAGAGCAGGCTTTTGGTCAATGTCACCGTATTTCCTTCTGCCAAAGTGTTTAGATGTCCAATTGATGAACTGCTGTCTATGTCATGAAAGTTATGGATAATGAGGGATGCCTCGTGGACATACATGTGCGTACCTCTGCCCACAAGCCCATGCACTGATCACACCTCCACCAACAGACACCCCTGGACAGCCCGTGGGCCTAAGGATGGGCACACCCGTGGTGCGGGGGGA